GCGGGGTCCGGCGGGGTCGGGGTTGCGGGGGCGGGCACCGGTGATCCCGCCGGTGGTCGGGCAGCGGGGCGGCGGGGTTCCCTCCCAAACGCCGGGGGACGGGCTGCGGGGTCGGTGGCGGTGGCGAGAGAAGGAGAGAGAGAGAGGGGGAAAGAGGAGAGAGAGTGCGAGAGAGAGTGTGTGAGAAAGCGAAGGGTGGAGAACTAGAGTTCGAACGAGGGAAGGAGAGGCGAGAGAGGGAGAGAGAGAGAGGGGAGGGAGAAGGAGAGAGAGAGAGAGAAAGAGAGAGAGAAACCGTGGTCGCGAGCGTGTAGAGAGAGTTCCCCCTTATGTTACGCGTGCGCCTCCCCGTCTCCCCTTAAATTAGCTTGCTAATGCTTGGAGAAGAAGTATCCCGCCGGTCGTCGTTGCGCATGCTGCACTTGCTAAAAAGACTGCTGCATAGGCAATGAAGAAGTAGATGAGAGTAATTGTAAGCTTAGCTGGGGCGAGAAGAACCCTCTCCGTTTGGCAAGCCCAAACGAGAGCACCGTTGAGGAGAGCATTGGGGATGAGTGCCATGGTAAACGTAGAGGCGCTGAAAAGGATGTGTGAAGTAGTTGAGACGGGGCTGGAGGGGGTTTACGAGCGACTGGCTCCATCAGCAAGGGCGGCAGGGGCCTTTGGGGGGCTCCTGGCAGTGCATTGGCAGGGTGGGCGAAGGAGCGAGAGTGCAAAGCTGCGGAGTGCAAGCAGCCTATGTTGCATGCTGGCCGCGGCCGGGTTCGGCCCAGGCCGTGGCCGGCGGCGTAGGCCTCGACCCCCCTGGCCGCGGCCGGTCCAGCCGAGTTTTTTCGGCCTCGGCTACGGCCGATCTGGGGCCCGGTTTCCGAAGCGGGGAGCGGGTTTGGGGTGGGTGGGTGGGGGGGCACCCCCTCACAGTGGCAGAGCATCAAAAAAATAAAAAACGGGGGGGTCCTGCACATGGCCCTGAAAGGGTGGGCCGCAAAAATTGGTGCGTCCCCCGCGTGCGGGTTCATCGATGTGGGGTTTCAGGGAAGAGGGTCTAGAACACTAGAAAAATACAAAAAAAAAAAATTGACCCCTGCAGGGGCGGCCCAATGGGGGTTGGATGAGGGCCTGGTTGGGGCGGCCCGTGCAGCCAGGTCGGGTCGAAGCTGGACGGGGCTGCAGATTGCAGACCCCAAGCAGATCAGGGCCTCAGGCAGGTGTCGATTTCATTCATGAGGGTGATGACAGTTCGTGACATATTTTGAAACAACACATTCATGGCAATCATAGGTCAGACCCTGGTTGGCATACCAAAGTCACAACACATTCACAATCAATCACAGTGCGGCCAGCCATAAGTCTCAAACAATGTTAACAGGCAAGTGTGTCATAGTGTGTGTTCAGTGTTCACTCATCAGACTGGTGGAAGTTTGTGTAAGAACACATTCATTAGCACATCATCCCTATTTGGCATCCGAAATTAACAGCACATTCATAATGGAGGCATCCATGACATGCAGGTGCGTGGCATCGGAGAAGCACAACATTTGCAACAATCACGACAACAAACCAGAAACCACTCACCAAACAACATCGACTCAGATGCAAGACCAATGTTGGTAGAGGAACACGAACAAGAGCAAATATATGACAAAGCATTTCAATGGAACACGAACATGTACAAGGCTGAAGCCAAAAACAGGACCCGTCGTTTGTACTGTACAACCGAGTAGCAAAAAAAACAAATTGGACCCTACTGACAAAGCATTTCAATGGAAATGCGTATGTACATACCCCCCGAAACTGGACCCGTCGTCTCTACTGTACAACCGAGTAGCAAAAAAACAAAAACAAAAAAACTAATGTCCACATACTGTCGTCGTCTCCATGGAACAACATCGACATAAATATGCAACAACCCTACCGACAGAGCGTCCAGGCTGTACAGCCACACAAAAAACAAAAAAAACTAATGGAAAAAAAAACAAACCACGGACGTCGTCATCTCCCTCTAGAGCGCGCGCGGCCTCTCTCGGAGGACGGGCGGCCATGCGGTCCTCCCTGACGCCCTCCTCTCCCTCCGGCACCTGTGCCCCGTGCCCGCTGAGGTATGTTGCCTGTGCTGCAGCGGCTGCCGCGGCCACCTATGCCCTGTGTCTACGGGCCGCAGTCTCGATCGGCTCGGACTCTGTGTCTGCGTCCTCGTCCTCTGACGCCCGTGCAGCAATCCCCATCTCTCTCTCCCTCTGAATTGCGTCCAATGCTGCCTGGCCAGCGGCGACCTCTACCGCGAGTCGAGCCTCAACCTCCGCGAGGCCGCGCTGTCGTCTCGTCCCAAGACGCATCAACAACCCCTCATCGCCCGATGTGTACTGCTGTCCCCCCAGCATGTCCGTGGATGTCCCTGCGGCCTCGAGGACCAATGATCTCCTCGTCTCCGCTCGTGACAAACCGAGCATGCGGCCTGCCATCTGCAGGCTCGGACGTCCGGACCCACCCTCTGCAGCCTGCGGCTGAACTGGCGTACGTCCCGTGAAGACGCCCCTCCCGACGTCGTAATCCGCCCGCAACCGGTACCCGACCCGACGAACAGCTGACCATCCGCCACCCACACCACCTCGGACTGTCGGCGGGGAACCGCCACTGTGCGCAACTCCGGGTGTCGTTGTCTAGTCCCCGGCGCCGACCCCAGCCTCCAGAGTCTGTGCGGGCGGTGGAGGCATCGATCCTGAATCGTCTCTGTTGTCATCGCAGCGTCTGTCGGACCCCACCTCACCTGCTCCGGACTCCCTCCCTCTCACGCCGCTGAGCTACGAACCCGACCATCCAGGGCTCTGCACCACGAACGGCGGCGGTGAATATACCCTCCCAGGTGCCCGCCTCTTGCCGCTCACGCGGCCCATGTGTGCGAAAGGGTCGTCTGTCAACGCTTGCGCCAAAGCGTCGACGTCGAAGAAAGTGTGCGCTGGGTTGTCAGGGCGCAAGGGATGTACTGTGGGGTCCCTCAACACCAAGGCGAGCCTATACGCATCATCCTCGGGACCGTGGTCGTCGTCATCACCTCCGTCCGGTCCATCGTCTCCCCCGACACCCTCGGTATCCCCAACTCCCTCTGCCGACGCTGCTCGTCAAGATACGCAAACCGACCCTCCCATCGTGGCAAGTTCCCCAGACGCTCCTCCTCCTCTTGGTCCAAATGGGCATCCCTCTCCTCCTCAATCTCAACAGGGCCCCGCACAACGTCCGCGTCGGTGCGCACCTCCGACGGTGAGGCATGTCGACGTCCCTCGACACTGAAATCTCCCAAGCCCCCACCAAGCCCTCCGACATCAAAGTCGTGTGTGCGGAGCTCCGATGGCGAGCGGGGGCGGATACCGGCGTCGGAAGGAGTCCTCTCCCCCCCACGATCCTCGTCGTCATGTGTCCGGTCTCTGCCCGTCGTCAACGCCAACCTCTCCGAACGCCTAAGTGCCTCGGGCTGTGCAGTGATCCGATGATGGGAGGGAGAGAAACGACGATCGTGAAGGGGCACCCGCCCATCCTCGGCCTCCTCCTCGGCCTCCTCTTCGACCTCGCTGTCGCTCCTAACCTCCCAACGCCTGCCTGTCTGCCGAAGACCTCCCCGTGGCTGCTGCTCCCCCGAGTCGTCGACGCCAACCTCCACATGCGAACGTCCTCTAGGACCTCCACGACCACCACCGACTCTGCTGCTGCCACTCGCCTGTGCGGTCGACGGCAAATCACCAGTGATAACTGATGTGAATGAATCCATGCCGTCACGTCCCCCACCGTAAGTGAAGTACACCCGCTCAGCCGTCGGGTCGCGACTCAGCAGCGTGTCATCATCGTCTGTCCACTCGTCATCGATGTCGTCGTCTGCCGCATCAGCATCCGCATCATCCCCACCCTTTGACCACGGTCGCAGCTCCGTCGCCCTCTTGCCGAACACGTCCTGAACCGAATGGGCTCTGGACGGTCGGCTGTCATGGAAAGCGACAATCTGCCGCTGGATCTCCTGCTCGGGAACACTGGCAGCAGGTCGCGCTCCCCACACCTCGGGCTCCACGTCTCCCTCCTCATCCTCGTCCTCTGCCGCCGTCCCCTCCCGACCGGTCCCCATAACCCATGGCAACACGTAGCCACCACCCTGTCGTGCGCACGAGGCCAGTTTGAGATTGGTGGCAATCTCAACCAGTTGTGCAAGCTTGGCAAACCCAAGCTTGCAGCGCCTCGCCGTGTTGATGCACTCGTGCTGCGCCGAGTTCCTCTCCGCTGGAGAGGCAGACGTCCACAAGTGCATAACACTAATGGCGATGGTGCGCAACTTCGGGTGGGCCCGTCCATGGTTAAGCCACCACGCTGCACATCGCTAGGTCTCGCAGTCCCCCCTGCAATCGTCCGCCTCGGCATCGGAGAGGGACCAATCTCCCCAATCCCCTCGCCTCGAGTGGAAGGCCCTCATCTGGTCCCTCACGGTCCTGTACAGTCTGCCGACCGAATCGCCGCCGGTCTGCGCCAGGAGAAATCTGTCTCACTCCTCGACCACACGGGCGGCGTCCGCGGTCGTCTCTAACGAATGGAAATACGTGAGGGACCGTCGACGAGGGTTGAGGAGGTGGGCCGCGGCATGTGCGGGCTCTAGCATGTGGAGGTTGCGGATGGCAACCTCACGCACGCATGGCTCGATCATGTCCTCTGGCACGTTGACCCTCCTCATCAACTGTAGCACATGCTGACTCCACTCGTAAACGACGGACATCATCATCCCCCCCCTATCCATCCTGCGCAACAGCTGGTGGACGGGCGCCATGACAAGGAGGGCGTACTGGACACAATGCCAAAACTCCCCGTCCCGGATCTGCTGCTGCACCCACTGCGCCTGCGATACATGCATGCGCTCCCATGGGATGCGTGCCCAAGCATCCCCGTGCAACATGCTCTCCAACGCGTCTCGTCGGCCTTTGAGACACGTCAGCATCAAGAAAACCGATGCGAACCGTGTCTCAACGGGCTCGATGAGCTGAACACGAGGGTTCACCTTCCTAAACAGGGCGTGAGCAGCGCCGTGCGATTTAATAAACCGCACAAGCGCTCGGGCGTGGATGATGGTCTCCTTGACCCACCCCACTCGCTTCCCGATATCTGACAACATCAAGTTGCAGACATGGGTGGAGCAGGGGAGCCAAGGGATCCTCCTAATGCTGGGGTCGGGGTCAGTGGCGAATCTGCGCGCTGCCACCGTATAGTTACAGGCGGAGTCTGTGCAGAAGCCGATTACGTCCTTTGCAGGAAAGGACATGATGATGGCCCGCCACCTACGGTATACGATGTCCGCTGTATCTCGGACCGACCCGTCACGTGCGACGGTGGCGTATAGCAGGGCGTCATTGGCGCTCCCGATGAGGAAGTTCACAAGCGGCTTGCCGCTGCGCGACTTCCTCCCGTCGGAGAGGATGGTGGCACCGCTGTGGCAGAAAGCGGCGCGCACCTCGCTCACCATCGTCGCCACCTTTGCCCTCTGCGAAGGGATACCCGCGCTCGCTTTAACCCTGAAGGAGGGAAACTGGAACTGGATACTGCGAGGCACTCTCTCTGCCGCCTATCGCACCCTCTACAACTCCGGACCACGGAAGGCGTTGAATGGCAACCCCTTCATGTAGATCCACTGCAGCCATGCGTCTGTGAACTCGGCCAACTTCTCCTTGGCGTACATCTCGTCAATCGTCGTCTGTCGAACCCTCTTCTCCCTGCCCGTGTCTCTCACCTCGACGTCAGCCTCCCCCACTGCCCTCTTCTCCCTCCTCGCGCGCTCCAACTCAGGTCGCGGCGCCCTAGGAGCGGGACCCGCTCAACCGACACCTCTCGACGTCATCACCACCTCCTCCCCTGGCAGGTCAGGCTCTCCGACTGCCTCGTCTGCCTCGTCTGCCACCCCCCCCTCCCTGGCCCCACCCTCGCGGCCCTCCTCCTCATCGAGGGCGTCCTGAATCTCGTCCCTCTCTCCCTCGTCCATCCGCCGTCGCTGGCCACCCGCGACTGCTCTCGTGTCTGTCCCAACATACGGCGGCAATCTACAGATGCCCACATCACCGTCCCTTACCTCAGTGGTTTCCTTCATCTCGATGATTCAGAAGTCCTTTGGGTAGATCCAGATCGGATCTGTGTCCTGGTCGCAATTCTCCTTGAAGAATTCACGAATCGATGGGTTATTAACTGAGCAGAGGTCGTCCACATACCTGTAGGTATCGTCAAAGGCTGATACCAGTTGCTTGTTGCCAGTCCTCAGCAGCCTGATCATTGCTTGATACTCATACTTAAAAAAGTAGATATCGCACCAGACTGGGGAGCAGGCAAGGCCCATCGGTATATGCCTTGAATCTGTTTCCAGACGCAAGTGCCCATTTGGATCAGGCTGTGCCTCAGACACCACTGTGTTACTGCTACCACCTCCGTTTCATTGAAAAAGAGCTCGCTGCCTGTATTCTGCAGGCGATCCTCAGCACATGAAGGGAAGAAATTGCCGTCAGCACTTAACCTGACTTTGATTTCAATGGCTGCACATGCACTCGTGTGTACCTACAGCAGAACGGTGCTTAGAGAAAGGAATGATGTTGAACATTTTCTGTGATCAGTGCCCCTACCCACGAGTGGAATCCCCTGTGCATCCGTGGTGGGAGTGTGTCATTGCCAGGGGGTTCTGGGAATGGGTATAGACAATATTTTTGAAAGTGTACGGGAATACCAATATATGGAATCAGTCATCTGTTATAACCGGAATTACGTCAAAAGCCATAGCATATAAATCTCGGTCCATAGCATTTTGGCTATTGTGGTTAGCACGCAGAGATAGAAGGTTTAATGTGAAGCCATCCTCTGAAATTGCCATTACAAACCAGTCCACGTACTCAGTGAGGATGCTGATATTGGCTGAATACAGAAAGAACAGTAAGTGGGAGGTCTCAAGTGGGAAGGTCTACACAGTCCCCAAGTGTCATTGGGACCACCCTTTTAGATGGGAAGGCTAATTGGGGTCCGGTAAGAGCTTCTTCTCTGGACTACTGACAGTGTGGGATGAACAGGAGACATCCCAAACAGTCAACAGTCAGTAGCCTAAGGCTGGAAAGTTCTCAGCAATTTGAAGTGTAAAAAAAAAAAAAGAAATAAAAAAAAAAAAGGTAGAGGTTAAAATAAAGAAAAAAAGAAAAAAAGGTACCCTTGAATTGTTTGCAAATCTGGGGTAGCAGTGTAGCTATCAAGAGGGGTCGTTTCAGTAGAATTAGAATTCCTCAGACAGAAGATGCAGAGGACGCCGGACCAGCTTTCCAGCAAGAGACAACACGCTGGACTTGGACTTGGTTTCCAGCCGGAGATATGAGGACGCTGAACCTGTTTTTCAGCAGCAAGCCCGGGTCGAATTGTGAGATCCCCGGCCTCAACACCAATTTAATTGAAAGGCTTTGAGTAGTGTTTTGAAAAAAAAAAGACCGGGTGGGCCCGGGGCTAGGGCCCACTTGCATGAATTAGGAGATACTGACCGTAGATTGCAAAGATCAATGGCCGAAATCTCCTAATTTGCGCAAGTGGGACCTTGCCGCCGTATGTTGGGACAGAAACTTAGGAGCCGGCGGATGGCAGCGAGGCCCGCGATATACTTTTCTTCGTGCTCTCTGCGCTCTGTGGAGGTCACCTTGGCAAGTCGCAGAGGCCAAACGGGCGTTCATGATGTTTCCAGGTACGTATATCCCCTTCCCTCTCCTTCTTCTTCTTCTTCTTCTTCCTCCTTATCAACACCCTCGACCGAGATCAGCTCTTCCCTTATCTTCGTCGTCTATATTAGGACGGCGGCACGCTCGTTCATTCTCCCCTCCTCCTAGTCCCCCTTCCTCTCAGCGTCGTATTGATCCTAAACTGCCTGGTTCCTTGTCTGACCGACAACCTGCTTTGGTACGTCGACAGCGTTCGTCAATTAAACGCCGACCGCGCCAAATCAGACCGGGCCTTCCAGTGGTGACCGATTCGGATTTGCGAGCAGATCTACCAAACATTTGTGGCCTGACARCCACRAATGTTTGTCTGCAAGCTTATCAGCGTCAAGGTTATACTGTATCTCAATTTGTTACAATTGCTTATCAGCTTGACGCTGTTGAAAATGAGTTGTTGTATGACCATAATGGYCTACCTCCTGAGGATAGTAATTATACTACCTCAGGAGGCTTTACTATAAATGTCTTACAGTTAGCATTTCACGGTCGCCACCTTCTTATGCATTATGCGACGCCAGGCGAGAACCTTAATGCCCGTCCTCATACTTCTGCATGCATTTTGCACAAACCCGGGCATTATATGGCACTCACTCGTGCAGCTGCCCAGTGGGAACTGTGGGATGGTGGGACAGTGATTCAGGTTATTGTCAACATAAATGAATTCTTGCGAGGTTTGTCGAATCATACACTATTCTGGATTGTTGAGTGTCTCTCGTGCCACATTTGTCGGGATAGGGACGTGGTGCGTCTTGGTTGTGGAATGCATTATCTGTGTCAGCACCATTATCAATCAATTGCGACCGTCACCCTATGTGCGGAAGGGTGTCTAACATTTCCTCATTGTGCACATCCCTATCACCCAGATGTACGTTGTCCTTTCTGTTCCCAAGGACGTTATCAGAACTGCATGATGCCGCACTGTGACGAACGTCCTGCTGTTTTCTTGACATGTGGGCAACATGTCCTCTGTCAGGATTGTTTTGATGGGATGGTTCGTGCTAGCCAACCCTCCTTGGGTATCCCTGTGAACATCCCTGTCATCCTCACGGTAGGTGTCCCATCTGCCGAGGGCCCGAGGGGGTGACAGATAAAGTTTAGAAGAAACAGATAAAAAAAGAAACCAAGTAGAAAGATAAATAAAAAATAAAATAAAAAAGAAACCAAGGAAAAAGACAAAAAAAGAAACCTGAGAAAAAACAAAAAAGAAAAAAGAAAAATATGTTCTGTGGGATGGTAATTGGATTATCTGTGGGATGTGTCACTTGCTTTGTCTGTTTAATAGGCTTTCTTCTTCTGTGAGGTTTGGTTTCCTCCGCCTTTTCTTTACCTCTTTGCCTTTTGGCTGCTTGCAAGTGTGTCTTTGTGACACACGGGGATGGGGGCAGCCAGCCCTCAACCTGTCATCCACGTGGCTGGCCTTGTACGTAAGAGGTTATGAACATGCGGCACTTTCCTTGCCTCTTCTTTTCCTTTCTCTTTTCTCTTCCTTTCTTCTTGTTTTCGCTTTTGCGCTCCCCTTCAAAGAGTGACACTATATATATTTATGTTGAAAATAGCCTGAATCATCTTCCTGC